TGGGGACATAGCTCAATGGTAGAGCTCTTGCTTAGTATTTCAAAGCACTGGATTCACTCCCCAATGTCTAAATGAATAAATAAAAATAAATTTAATTTGGTAGGGCACACAACAAAAACTTGCCCCTTAGTTGAGCTGCTGTGGCCACAATGCCTGCAGCTTCGCCCATGGAGAGGCAGTCTATTTGCCTGACCCTCGAATCTGGAGGAACTGGTAATTTGCTTTGATCCACAGAAAGAGGTACATATAATGTTGTGAAACTTCTGTGGCTATGGCTAAGAAATGTTAAAGTTTTCACAGACTGACCAAGTAGGCTGCTGGAAGATGAGCAACTACGTACGGAGTAGACAACAGATGCGTGCATGAGACCATGGGGGACCTTCAGCTCAGCTGTCTGTCCAGGAGTTGACAAACTATATAATCTGTCAGGCATGGGCTGTTTTGGTAAGTCCTCTGAGCTAACAATAGCTTTAAGCTTTTAGCAGTTTATAAAAAAACAGAATAATAAAGAAAGAGTATGCAAAGGAAACTGCATTAGCCAGCTTTCTACTACTGTGACAAATGTCTACACTGAAGCAACATAAAAGGTTTATTTTGGCTCCCAGTTTCAGAGGCCCTGTCCACTACCAGTTCTGTTCTGTTCAACTCATGGCCCAGAAAAGGTGGGGAGGTAATTATTAGGGCTTCCCAGTCCCCTTGGAGGGAATGACCCCCAATGACTTATACCCTCCCACGATGCCCCATCACTTTAAGGTTCTACCACCTCCCAGTTATGTCAGCAGCTGAGGACCACGCTGTAACACATGGGCCCTTAGAGGGCATTCCATATCCAAACTATAGAAATAAAGCTTAAAATACAGTTTGGTCCTTTACAGAAAATTCAGCAACTCAACAAATGCTCAGAATTGTGGGATACATTAAATTCATATTTTTGCAAGTAACTAAATTTTGGGATGGCTTGCCCAGCAGCAACAGATACTTGCATCATGAGCTGATAAATGCTATATAATGAAAAAGAACACTGCCTCAGGGAGATAATCTCTTCAAGGTTTTGGAGCATATTTCACTTGGGAGAATTTTTTTTTTAACCATTAATTTACCATGGCTCTGTTTTGCACTTTAGAAATGTACTGGTTTCTATAGGCAGGTATATCTGGTAATTATTCAAGGGACAGTTAAAACATTTGACAAACAGGTATTGAAATATAACTTTCCCACAATTTTTTTAAAAATACAGAATTTGTAAGATATAATACAGTATTAATGTCTTAAATCATCCTTCTGTTATAGGCAGCCGAATTAGAAATATTGTAGGCAGTGAGACAGGGCTAGGTCCTTGAAGGAGCCAGTGCAAAAGCCCAGATACCTTGCAAGGGTTGGGGAGACTGACACCTCCTGCTGTGGGTCAGGCCTCAAGACAAAGGTCAAACAAATGCACCCATATCCTAAGGACTGATATTCTAAATAGTTCCCTACCACCCTGAGGAACACAGGAGTCACCATCCCAACCCCCAAGAGAAGAGTCACTGATCTGTAAGAAGCCCTGCTTACTGTGACTCACCTCCCTGTTTGTCTCTGATTTAATCAATTTTACCTAAAAAAATTAATTTCATTGGTTAACCACAGTTAACCAAAGGTTGCCGCACCTTAGGCCTGTCTGCCTTGTGAGTTCCAAGTTATCCCCATCTCACCTCACGATTTTACTCTATAAAAGTTCCTGGAAAAGACAAGAGTCCCTGGCAACCTGCTCAGGACCCCTCTGTCTCTCTCAGACAGAAGCTTTCTTTCTCTCAATAAATATATTCTGCCCCTGCTCTCCATTGTTCCTAAAATTCATTCTTCAATTTTAGAGAACATGAACTCCTACCAGATACAGAGTAAGCCAGGAGTTTCATTTCCCTGTGTCACTTCCAAGAATAGAGGTCAGGTTTTTCAGTGGAAACTGCCTAGTTTTCTTATTAACAGACCTGCTTTACTTACTGAGGTAAGCTGCTGGGGGGGGGGGGGTGATGCACGGCCATGATAAAGACAGGCAGCAGGTCTGTAATCCCTGCACCCTCTGCAAAGGGTACAATCAGCTGCTTAGCTGGAACCTAGAACAGAATCGTGGATCTGAATATCTACACAGTACCAACCAAGTTCTAGTCTTACACTGCTGCTATCTAAGCTAAGGTTTATTGTATACTCATTTTGACCCTGCAATATTAAGATCTTTTATTTGCCGTAAATGATTTAAAATTTTTATTTTTACTAACACTGTTTGAAGTACATACACGATGCTTACACTCATTGAGGAAGTCAGTTCATAGACCTAACACTTAATTCTTCTTACTTCTCTTGTACCTCCTGCCCTTCTCTTCTATCTGTTGGCCCCTTTCATTTGTATAAATGACTTTAAAATATATATATTTCAATCACCTATTCTTTTCCCTTTTGCTGCAGAAAAGGCTTTGATAAGGAAAAAGCAGTTGAGCCAGAAGTCTGTAAACAAAATTAAATGGGCCATGCTTATTACAGTCTTGTTGCAAATATGTGGGTCACAAATGGGGATGGGACCTTGGCTAGGCAGGCCAGAAGTTAAACAAAGGTCTCCAACTATTTGACTCTCAGCAGAAGAACAATACAATCAACTGCACATCTAAATCTGCATTTGGCCTAGAACAAGGTGGTGGCTGCTTTCTAAATACTAACCCTACAGCCCCAGTCTCACCTCTTGGTGGTTATGCCCCAGGCTAGGCTCTTGCATCAGAAACAGTCCTGTGCTTGCTTTTTATTAAAACGATGTGGCAAAAATGATGCTGCATGACTTCTGAGGCTAGTTTTTCTCTTGATGCTTCTGACTCAACTTGATGTTGACCAGGACGAAATTCAGACCAATTGGTAGGGCTAAAACCAGAAATTAATTTGCCAATGCAAACAAAACTATCAATATGATCCAACGACTTGGATTGACTCACTGGAAAACATAGTCTTTTCAGAAGTGGCGATAAAGGCTGTTTAAACATTTGCTTGCAGGATAGAGAACATCCATTGAGAATTCCCTTGTGGAAGACAGGATGGTTACAGTCATCACATCAGGTTGACAGAGCTCTTACCAAGCAGAGTTTAAGCATTTAAGTGGATTTAGAAAAGCTTACTTTGTACATGTTGATGGGTTCTTGCCCATGTAAAATTCACCAAGCCATGATGGTGATGGTCTGAGATGGCAAAGAGGCCAGGACAACAATTTATCTGACGTCCTTCTTTTTTCCCAGGCCCTGTAAAACTCCGGTCCTTGGAAGACCTTCAATCTAACACATACAGGACCCTTCGTCCAGCCCCAGGCCCCTCCCAATTTTGATAAAAAGCCAGCTCACCCCCTTGTTCACCCAGAGGGTCCTTACTTCTCTTCTGCAGCCCTCTTGTGCCCACAATACAGGCCTCTTTTCCCCCATTTTTGGTTTGTCTATCTCACCAAAATCTTAGAACTTATGATATAAATGAGACGCTGTCTTGGTTACTTTTTACTCATCGCTGAGACAAAATATGTGAAGCCCAAGTTGGGAAAGGAAAGGTTTATTTCTTACAGTTTTTGGAGGTTTTAGTCCATACCCAGTTGGCTCCAAGGCAGGGTGGCATGGCAGGGCCACAGTTTAGGGTGGCTGCAAACAGCAAGGCAGAAACTGGCAAGAAGGCAAGACACACCTTCTTCCTGCCATTACATTACATCCTGGCTCCACCCCTAGGTGGGTGTAGCACTGACACAGTCAATCCAAGCACTAGACAATGAACCAATCACAAATGCACAATGCAAACTCATGAGGCCTGGGGGCCACTCACATAAACCATGACAGAGGCCAAATGACCAAAGGCAAAGACTACACAATAAATTACATGCTCTTGATTTATTTTTGTTACTAAAATAATACTATAGCATTAGTGTGCAGTACTAGTACTCTGAGTACTACAATGTATGCAGGCTAGGTATGCAGTATGAGTATTTGCCCATTGCTGGCACTAAGTGCCCAACACCCACATCTTCTGGGAGGAGAGTTTTAGTTTGGCTCAGTTTTCAGAGGAGTCAGTGCACAGTTGGTTAGCTCCAAGCAGAACGGGATGGTGGAAGGGATTGGCAGGAGATGTTAGCTCACTGCATGGCAGCCAGGAAGCAGAGACTGAAGTGAGAAGCTAGGGACAAAAGTACATTGTCCCAGTTCCCGTCCCCAGGGAGCACCTCCAACCAGGTTGTACCTCCTAACTGCACACCCGGCTGTCAACTCAGTGGATGACTCTACTGAGGAGTATAGGTTCCCCATGTCGCAATCATCTTCTAAGGGTTCCACCGTTGAACACAAGACTTTTGGGCAATACTTTAGATCTAAACTATAACATTTCACGCAGGGCCCCCAAAAGGCTTATCATCTTACTATGCAAAATGTGTTTAATCCATCAGTTTTAACAGCTCCAGCATCCTTGAAAAGACCAAATCCACTTTCCTCTCAGGCTTGAGGCAAACTTAGCTGTGAGCCACTGTAAAAGCTAAAAAGAAAATGAAATACTTCCAACATATAATGGCATAGAGTAAACCATTCCATTCCGAGAGGAAGAAAGAGAGGAACAGAAAGGAATTGGGCCACAGAAGGACAGAAACCCAGCAGGGTAAACATTAAATCCTGAAACTCCAGGTCCACCACCAAAGGGTGTGGTGAGATGTAAACTCCAAACAGACTGGGTGGTGTCACCCTTATGGCATTGCCAAGACACTTTTTTCCTCATTAGCTCTGCGTGAGTTCAACAAGCAAATCCCTTGAAACAATGGCAAGCCTGGAACAATGGCACGGTGGGAATGAGAATAGTAAACAAATCCTAGCATTTAGGCCCCAAACCTCTGCCGCCACAAACCTGACATACACAACCTGACAGTGTTTGGAACGCAAGGGGATGACAAGAATAGGCAGAGTGCGCCTTAGTGCGCAGGGCCGGGGTGCTCTGGTCTTTTGGCAGCAGGGGGCTCAGCCGCAGCCCCCTCCCCCCAGCCCATCCCCCGCCGCGCGTGGGCTGCGTGCGCCCGAGCGTGCGTGTGGCTGCGGGAGGCCAGGGCGCGCGCAGGACTGGAGCGCCGTTCCCCGCGTTGGAGCCGAGGGGGCGCCCCGCACGGCAGGTGAGTGTGCGGCGGGGCCGGGGCGACCTGGAGGCGGTAGAGGTTCGGGCTGGCCCGCAGGCGTGGCCGTGGGGCTCGCTGTTCTGCGGATGCACCCGACTGGACGCGGAGGTCCGGTCGCTGGGCCGGAGGCGCCGCCCACCCCTGCTGCCCTCGGGAGCTGGCAGGTTGCGCCGCGAGCCACCACGCCCCGCGGCTTGGGCCTCTGTGTCCCGCCGCCGCCGGGCTTGTGGCGGGGCTGCGGGAGACTCGAAAGAGCTCCGGGGCGCGGGGCGCGAGGCCCAGGCCGCAGCCGCGCGCCGCCCACCCTGCCGCGCCCGGGCGCGCGGTCCCTGCGTCCTCGGCGCCCTGCGCCTCTCGGGACACCGCCAAAGCCCCGCGGCCAGGGCGCGTTTGCCGCTGCGGCGAGGGCGCGGCGCGGACGGGGACTGTGGTAAGGTACTGGTGGTGGATTCCCGAAGGCCTGGGGCGAACGCGATCCGGAGGCGGTGGCTAGGGCCTAGGGCCCGAATTGTAGGAGGGTGCCGAAGGGGATGGGTGGGAAGGGTGTAGACCTCCCGAAGGGAAGGAGCGACTGGGAAGAGAGCACGGAGGAGAAAATCCCAGGGGGTCAAGGGCAACCGATTCACAAGTGGCTCTGTCTCAGCCAACACGAGGCTTTGCCAAAGAAATCCTAGGGGTGCAGTGGAGTGGAGTGACTTCCAGACCATAAGGAAGATAGCAGCAAGTACCCTCAACTATTTGCATTCGGTATTTTTTTTCCTCCTCCCCACTCCTAGACCAGAAAGGACACTTGCAGGGCTGAGATGGGTTTTTGTTCCTTAGCGTTTGCAAAGAGTGACAGCTCTAGGAGGTAGCTGGTTTGGCAGGAAAAACTACCAAGAGGAAATCGCCAAACCATATCTGTTTGTGTTCTCTCTCTTTTCTGTTTTCAGTCGGGCACAGTTTTGTATTTTAGCTCTCTCAGGATGTCAGGCACCAGGAGGGAACTTCGTTTGTGCTCAATGCATCAATGCCTGATAAAAGCCCAAACAGAATTTGTGTCAGCTAGAGATCAGTAGTCTATGACTCTTCCCCCACTCCTTAAACGAAAAGGCTCACTCGCAGTGAGGCAGTAAGTGGCCACTGGGTAGTTTCAGCCCTAAAAAGTGTGATCAAGACAGTGTCCAAGTAATTCCAGGTTAGAACATGGAGGCAGAAGAAAGAACCCAGACTTTTCCAAAAATGCATAAAGCGCCGTACTTCATAGCTTGCAATTTGCTACATGTAGAATACTGACTTAGGTGTGGTGGTTGCCAATGTCGTTATTGTTTCATCTACTTTACTTTTTATGGTTCACAGCAAATCTGAGGACTGTAAAGAATGGAATGTAAACAACCATAAAAAAACTTCAGCTAGTGATTTCATCTCATCTGAAACTCAACAGGTAGGTTTATCTTATTTATACTTTCAAAATTGTGCCCATCACAGTTTACGAGTTTTAGATATCATGGACTTGACTCAGAGTTTGTTATAAGATATTCCAGTATGTTTTTCTCCAGGGGTGTTTGAAGAGGTCTAGTACTATTTGGGGTAATACTGATTTTTATTAAAAATTAAATTATTATTAAAATATTTTGTTGTGTCCGGAAAACAGTGACTACATAAACTCAAGTTTACGGGTCATATTCAAGCTCAAACTCAGGTTGTCTTTGTTTCAGAGGAAATGCCCCCCCCCCCCCAATTTGCCTTCCCTTTGTGCCCAGACCCCAGCATTGCACTGTGAGCTATCAGATGATACAGGGCGATCTCACTGTAGGAAATGCCATTATGTTTGTCACAACTAAATAACACAGTATGTTTTTCTGTTACCATGTTTATGGCTGTTAATGCTCATTACAGCTTGCTGTGGGAGGTCCCCACTGGATGGTAATAGCCATCATGTGCAGCTTCCTGGTTGAGCTCAATTTGTGGATTCAGACAGGATGCTTCTGTGACCTTGCAGAGCACAGGCACTCAGAAATAACAACCCTGCGTGCTCTTTGGCACACATTTCTTTGGAGATTATGAACAGTGATTTGATTTTCATAAAAATTGCGTATTGTGAATACTGATTTGCTTTTGTTACAGTGTGAACGGTTTTTGTTACAGGGCTCTTGGCATATTGTGAGTTCAAAGAGAGGAGAAGATAAGGGTATGAGGTAGAATTATGGCATTTTGTAGGGCTCACATCAAGAGGAGAGTGAGGTGAAGTTATAGAACATCTTCATGGGTGGGCCTCAGGAAATGAGTTCTCCTTGAGGCCTTGAAACATTAAAGAATAAAAAGCAGAAAACTCAGGCAGATTTTGTTTCCAATTCTACATGTTTCTGACTCTACACACAAGTCTCTTGGGAGACTTGTTGATGTCCCATGTTGTGCCTTCTCATGGGACTAGAACAAACATTTCTTGGCCAGGGTCCATTTTGTAAATTTAGTAAGACCTCTTGGTCCTTAAGTTCCATATCCACAGACTCAACTAACCATGGTCTAAAAATATTCAGGAAAAAATTATGTCTGTACTAAGCATGTATAGATTTTTTTAAAAAAATGTTCACTAAGTAATACGGTAAAGTATTTACATTGTATTTGGCAGTATAAGTAGTATAGAGATGACTTAATGTATGGGGAGGATGTCTGCAGGTTATGAGCACATATGCTGTGATTTTATAGAAGGGATTTGGACATCTATAGATTTTGGTATCTGTGAGGGACATAGTTGCAACTATTTGTTTAATACTGACTGTGGCTCTATTTTATATATGAAAGCAGAAATGAGTAGCTGACATAAAGACTGTAATTTTAAAGAGAAAATATTTACTATCTTTCCTTTTGTGGAAAATCAAACCTTTGCCTATGCCTGGGCTAGAACAGGGATTTCTGCAAAACTCAAAGCTGTGCATTTTGAACAGGCTGTCTAAGTGACTTAGCAGCAACATTCCTGCTCAAACACTTCACTTCACCTACCCCTAGCATGGCAGTGACAGCTCAATTGTGTCTTTTATCTAGAATTATTTGATTACTCTTTTGGCTACAGACATTGCTTTGAAAGATGGCGTTGCCCACTTTCTAGGAGAGAAAGTTATCATTTACTCAAATAGCATTAAATATTTCCTTAATCTATACCTTTACTGGGCATTAACACATTCTGAGAGTGCAGACTCCGCATCCTGTCCAGGACTCTGATCTAATTTGGAAACACTTGAGCTGGGGGAGTTCTCTTCTCTTTTCCAACTGAACTTTTGAAGTTCAGTTTAAGTTTGGAGTCACGAGTCTCCCACTGTACTCTGCCTCGAATGTCTGCAAGTTGAGGGCAGGGCTTCTCACTGCTCCCTTGGCCTTGAACACAGGTCAGGTTAATTTTTTTTAAATTTTTTAATTTTTATTGGTACCGGGGATCGAACTCACGACCGCCTGCTTGCTTGCAAGGCAGGTGCTTATGCCGCTGAGCTAAATCCCCAGCCCCTCAGGTCAGGTTTATTAAATGAACAAATGAAGTACGTTTAGGTAACCTAGGAGGAGGTAATTAATGACTTCACGTGACAAACAAGATTGGTAAAGGTCTGTAATGTCCCTCATGTAAGGCAGCAATGCGATGAAAAATGCCAAGTAGAGCAGCTTCCCCAGCCTCTTCTTCCAGTGGGTAAAAGGGTTGGTGACAAAACTGGGTCAGAAAGCTCAGCTAATCTTGTTGTTCTGCTTGGTTTGGGTGCTTGTTACTCCCGTTTGGCTGACTTTTTTCACTGTCATCCTGTTGTTTTTTCTACCTGAGCTACTCAGCCACGTGGTGCTCTCAGGCCGGTTGCTCAGTGTGGAGCTATGTCTGCTTTGGCTCCACACTTCCCTCCTTGTCCTGGAGTCTGCAGGAGCCGTGGGTATGAGGTTGTGTTTCCAGGTGGCACTGCTCTGGCAGCAGGAACAGGTTATTTGGAATGGAAAGGGTTGAGTTTGGGTTCCTGGTCTGCCTATTGGTGGCCTGCGCAGGTCTCTGAAAATGGGATTGAGATCAATACCCATCTTTTGGTGGTGCAAAATATACTTTATCAATTGTCAGAGAAGTACCACGGTGCACCCTGCCCTGTACTGTAAATTACTAAGAGTGGAATTGTGTTACTGTTGGATACCAGTGTAGGTGGGGTGAAAGCAAAAAAGAAAATTTAGCTCAGTTTTCCATTTATATCCTGCTGCTTTTGGTTTGCTCCTCTTTTTTCTCAGCCTAAAGACCTGCATGTCACAACTCCCAAATCTACAAAAGATTTACATATACAGAGATTGTTTTACTTATAAGAAAGTACTTTCTTAGTAAACAGCAAATAATGTATCTTTTTAAAATTCTTTAAAAGTGCACATGTCTTCTACCTCAGCATTCTGAGGCAGCAGGCGGGGATTTCCATAAGGCTCAAGTGAAAGGCAGTACCAGGTCCACAGAGGGGGCCTGCTGCGGGCAGGGGCGATCCCCCAGAACTGGGACAAGGCATTGGAGCAAAGTATTCTACGCACCGTGTACTGAAGACACGCAGCGATCACACAGCAGGTTTTTCCTAAAACTCAGTGAATACTTTGAGTGAGTTCAATGTGGGCTCCCTCGCCATTAACTCAGTGAATGTAGATTTGTTCTTAAAAATTGAACAGTTTTATGAATTTCTAAAAATGTTAAACCTGACTCTAAGGGAGCAGTCAGTTTTGAAACCATTTAGCCACCACCATGAGACTCACATTTGTCTGTTTTGTTCAGAAAGACCTTTGTGTGCCCAACTCTTTCCGGAATTTGTATGTTATCAGAGGCTTTCTTTGACCTTCTGATGGAAGGAACCTCTTGAAAATGTGAATGACATTAGACAAAGGTTTTTAGTGAGCTACTGATGTTCACTGTTCTTTCATTTACTTATTCAGTATGTCACTCAACCTAAATTCTCCTTAAATATATTTTATATTTATATCTACTATATCTATTAATTTTAGAAAGTATTGGGTTTCTTCTTTTTTTGTAGTACTGAAAATTCAGTCTATGACCTTTCCACTAGACCAAATCCTTTGCGCTTTGTAAATTTTGAAACAGGCTGTCTAAGTTGCCCAGACTTGACTTGAACTTGTGATCCTCCTGCCTCAGCCTTCCAGGATTACAGATGTCTGCTACCACACCTGGCTAAATATTGGGTTTCAATGTGGTCTTTTCGTACACACTTATACTTTGCTTTTATCTATTCCTCCTTTGCTCTCCCTCGTATCTCTCTCCTCATTCCCTGCCTCTTAATGATAGGCTTTCTTCTCCTTTCATGTTATCTGATTCTACATTTAGTGAAAATATGTGTGGCTTGTGTTTCTGTACCTAACTTATTTCACTAAACTTTGTAATATCCAGTTCTATCCATTTTCTGGCAAATGACATAATTTTGTTCTTTTTTGCTGAGTAACATTCCTTTGTGTAAATATACTACATTTTCTCTATCCATTTATCTATTGATGGACACCCAGGCCTGTTCTATATATTGTGAATATATAGTGTGAATTGTGTCATAATCAATATGGATATTCAATTATTGCTAGGCTATGCTGACTTTAATTCCTTTGGGTATTTAACGTGTCACTGCTTTTGTGTCTTGAGTGTTTACTAATGTTTGTAGAAGGTCAGCAACTTATTCAGGGTTATTTGAGATATAAATTCATTAACATTATTTCCTTCAGTGTATTTTTGATAGCTGAAAAGTGACTTAGCAAGGGAAGTTGTTGGAAACTGTCTGGATGAGAAATAGAATAAGCCGAGCATGGTTTGCCTGGAGATTGAATGATATTTATACCTATAGTTTTTCTTTATTTAAAGTTTCTGGCTCAGCTTTGACAACTCTTCTCCCTGGGGAAGTACAGAGTTACTGCCTTACCTGGAGGAAAGTATAATGATCAGCTCAGTAGGAGGGAAGCACTGAGGTAGAGTGGTTACAAGACTCTACCTTGGGACAGGGACTTCTGCGATCCCACACCCATCCGGACAGCTCTGAAACCCTGAGGATCAGGTCATCAAATCTCAGCCTTCTTAGCTGAAAGATAAACGTTACAACCCTGGTGATTACTCCAAAAGATTGTTTTAATTGTTACACAAAAGAAATATGGAAAAAAAACCAGGACCAAGCAAGAGATGTTGCTAAAATTATGTAGAGATAGGAGAAGTGGAATTAGAAAGCAAATTCTTTTTAGTGTTTAGCTTCTGTTTACCCCAACAGAGTAAAGTATATTTTATTTTTAAGCATTTTTAAAAATTGGTAAATGTAACAATCACTATTCATTTACTGAATAAAATTTGATTCCCTGTATATGTGCAGCTGTGTGCTTCAAAAAAGTCTAAGCTTATCAAATACATACAGTCCTCAAATGAAGCAGTCTGATGTCATGGTAATATCTTGAACTTCATTT